AAGAGTGGTATTTTTCTCAATCTTTTGTATGTTTATTTTGAAGAAAAAAGACAAAACTAACAAGACTTAAAGCTGACACGTAGCTGACACTTACATGAATTACAGTTTGTGACTGATATTACCAGCCCCCTATTAGTACAGCCTAGACTTAAGTCCTGATTATTAACAACATCACCTGATTTTGCTGCGTGATAATTTTGAAGTAATAGATAACTTATTAAACTAAGTGTCACTATGTACAACTGCGTTGACACATGTAGCAGAAGTAGAGTGAAATACAAACATACAGTGTACGACGTTTAACAATTAAATTTACATCGTTTTCCGTTGTAGGCCTAAACTTTAATAGACAACAGTCATCATTTCATTGTCTTGATTGTGTTTGTCTTTTACGTATGATGGAAACCCGTTTGTCCGCATGTAATTATCAAGGTTAATAATTGTTTCGCTATTGTCTTCCCCTCCAGCTTGATTCAATGTAAAATGTACCATATCATTATATCAATTAAGCAGACACTCTACTTCTGCTATCAGTGCAATTGTGCACAGCTACACTTAGTTTTATACGTTATCTGTTACCGATACTTCACAACTGTCAGTCAGCAAAATCAGGTGATGTTTTCGATATTCAGGACCTAAGTCCGCATGTAAATAGCAAGGTTAATAACTATTTCGCTACTGCCATTCAACGTCCTCTTGTGAAACAGTTCCCTCCAGCTTGATCCACTGTAAAGTTTACCATGTGATTAAATCAGTTACAACAGAATAAGACTTTTTTGTTTTATAAATGATATTAAGTTCTAACCCTAAAATGATATTAAGTTCTAACCCTTAGCCTAATTTTGCTGCCTCGATCAGGTGACAATTTCGAAGAACTTTAGATAACCTACATTAAACAAGTACAACCTAGACTTTAGATCCGTCCTGGTTATTAACAACATCAGCTGATTTTGCTGTGTCGATAGGTAAAAATTTTGAAGTTATACGTAACTTATTAAACTTGTGGTTGTGCAACTGCCTTGATAGTACCAGTAGCTGGTGGAGTGTTTCAGTCGCAGGCGAGATGGGGGGGGGGGGGGGGGGGGGGGGGG